CCTGCCCCAAACAGGCATTACTCAAAGTCTAACTGAGCAAGCACAGGAGGAAAGGAAAGAAGAAAAACTTAGGAAAACGGAATGGCAGGGACAACAATGCATCTCTCTATACTTTCTCTTAATATAAATGGGCTGAATTCGCCAATTAAAAGAAAACGAACTGAGGACTGGATCAGAAAACAAGACCCATCCATCTGTTGCCTTCAGGAGACCCACCTCTCAGCCAAACATACAAACAAACTCAGAGTGAAGGGGTGGAAAAGGATCTACCAATCAAATTCCCCCAATAAGAAAGCAGGTGTAGCTATCCTGATATCTGACAAAATAAACTTTTCATTAAAATCAGTACAGAAAGACAAGGACGGACATTACATATTAATAAAGGGAACAATCCAAGAGGAGGATATAACCATCATCAACTTATATGCCCCAAATATCGGTGCACCCAGATATGTTAAACAAATGCTCTCAAACTTACAGAATAAAATAGATCCCAATACGATAATACTAGGAGACTTTAACACGCCACTCTCACCAAAGGACAGGTCTACCAACCAGAGGATTGGCAAAGAAGCTACCGAATTAAGTGAGGCCATACTTCAAGCGGAATTAACTGACATCTACCGAGTATTTCACCCTAAAACAACACAGTACACATTCTTCTCAGCAGCTCATGGAACTTTCTCCAAAATAGACCATATCATAGTTCATTCAAGGAACTTAAGCAAATACAAAGGGATCGACATAATCCCCTGTATCCTATCTGACCACAGTGGAATCAAGCTAGCTCTCAATAACAAAGCATACCGCAGAAATTTCTCTAATACATGGAAATTGAACAGCACACTCCTTAACAAGGCCTGGGTAACAGAAGAGATCAGAGAAGAAATAAAGCATTTCCTAGAACTCAATGAAAATGAAAACACCTCACAAAGAAACTTGTGGGACACAGCAAAAGCAGTCCTGAGGGGCAAATTTATTGCCCTCAGTGCCCACATCAAGAGAATGGAGACAGACCAAGTAAATAATCTCATGTTGCAACTAAAACAGCTAGAAAAACAAGAAAAAATGGGACCTAAAGCTACTAGACGAAGCCAGATAACCAAATTGAGAGCAGAGATTAACCAATTAGAAAATCAGAAAACCATAACCAAAATAAACCAAACAAAAAGCTGGTTCTTTGAAAAAATAAACAAAATTGATGGCCCGTTGGCAAGATTAATTAAAAAAAGAAGAGAGGAAACCCATATTAATAGGATTAGGGATGCCACGGGAAACATCACAACACGTACCCAAGATATCCAAACAATTCTAACAGACTACTTTCAAAAGCTATACTCTCTAAAGGAAGAAAATCTGGCGGAAATGGATGCATTTTTAGAGAAATACAAGTTACCCAAACTGAGCAAAGAAGAAGTTAACCAATTAAATAAGCCAATATCCTATAATGAGATACAGGAAGCTATCAAAAGTCTTCCAACAAAAAAAAGCCCAGGACCAGATGGATTCACAGCAGAATTCTATAAGACCTTTAAAGAAGAACTAATACCCATACTCCTCAAGCTCTTCAGAGAAACAGAGAAGGAGGGAGCTATCCCAAACTCATTCTACGAAGCCAATATCACACTCATCCCCAAACCAGGCAAAGACCCAACCAAAAAGGAGAATTACAGGCCAATCTCCTTGATGAACACAGATGCAAAGATCCTTAACAAGATTCTAGCTAACAGAATCCAGAAACACATAAAAAAAATAATACACTATGATCAGGTAGGCTTCATCCCAGAGACACAGGGATGGTTTAACATACGTAAGTCAATAAATGTAATCCAGCATATCAACAGAGCCAAGGTCAAGAATCACATGATTATCGCCACAGATGCAGAAAAGGCCTTTGATAAAATTCAACATTCATTCATGCTAAAAGCTCTGGAGAAAATAGGAATAGAAGGAACATTTCTAAAAACAATAAAAGCCATTTATGACAGACCAATAGCCAATATTATACTTAATGGGGAAAAGCTACAACCAATCCTCCTAAAAACAGGAACAAGGCAAGGATGTCCACTGTCTCCACTCCTCTTCAACATAGTCCTAGAACCCTTAGCCAGGGCAATAAGGCAAGAAAAAGACATTAAAGGGATCCGCATAGGGAAAGAAGAAGTGAAACTATCCCTTTTTGCAGACGACATGATACTATACCTCCACGATCCCAAAAACTCCATCCCCAAACTTTTAGAAATCATAAGTCACTTCGGCAAAATAGCAGGATACAAAATAAACCCACAAAAATCAGTTGCCTTCCTATACACTGATAACGCACAGGAAGAGAGGGAAATAAAGGGAGCAACCCCATTCACAATAACCTCCCAAAAAATAAAATATTTAGGAATTAACCTAACCAAAGATGTAAAAGAACTATTTAATGAGAACTATAAAAAGTTAAAGAAAGAAATTGCAGAAGACACTAGGAAATGGAAAGACCTCCCATGCTCCTGGATAGGCCGACTTAATATAGCAAAGATGGTGATACTTCCAAAATTAATATACAAATTCAATGCAATTCCTATTAAAATCCCAATGACGTACATCACTGAAATACAGAAAACAGTCCAAAAATTTATATGGAACAACAAAAGACCTAGAATAGCCAAAACAATTCTAGGGGATAAAGACAATATGGGAGGGCTATCCATGCCGAACTTCAAACTCTACTACAGAGCTATAATCACAAAGACAGCATGGTACTGGCACAAAAACAGACCCGAAGACCAATGGAACAGAATAGAAGATCCAGATATAAATCCACAGGCCTACAGCCAGCTGATATTCGACAAAGGAGCCAAAGACATACAATGGAAGAAACACAGCCTCTTCAACCGCTGGTGCTGGGAAAACTGGGCAGCCACATGCAGAAAACTAAAAGTGGACCCCAGCCTATCACCATGCACCAACATCAACTCAAAATGGATTAAAGACCTTAACATTAAACCTGAATCTCTGAAACTACTGCAGGACAGAGTAGGAGAGACACTTGAACTAATAGGCACAGGAAGGAACTTCCTGAACAGAGTCCCAGGGTCACAACAAGTTGGAGAGAGACTCGACAAATGGGACTACCTTAAAATAAAAAGCTTCTGCACAGCTAAATCTATCGCAACTAAGCTAGAAAGACAACCAACTAATTGGGAAAAAATATTTACCAGCAATATATCAGACAAGGGGTTAACATCCTGTATATACAGGGAACTCAAGAAACTAATCCCTCCCAAACCTAACAAACCAATTACTAAATGGGCAAGGGAACTAAAGAGGGACTTCTCAAATGAAGAAATAAAAATGGCAAAGAAACACATGAGGAAATGTTCATCATCCCTGGTGGTGAAGGAAATGCAAATAAAGACAACCCTGAGATACCACCTTACCCCAGTCAGAATGTCCCACATCCACAAATCAGCCAACGACAAATGCTGGAGGGGATGTGGAGAAAGAGGAACCCTATTACACTGCTGGTGGGAATGTACACTTATACAACCACTTTGGAAAGCAGTCTGGAGGGTCCTTAGAAAGCTAAAGATTGACCTCCCTTACGACCCAGTCATACCACTTCTAGGCATCTACCCTGAACAACAGGAACCAATATACAAAGACACGTGCACCTCCATGTTTATTGCAGCACTGTTCGCAATAGCTAGGATATGGAAACAACCTAGGTGCCCCACCACAGATGAATGGATCCAAAAATTGTGGTATCTATACACAATGGAATATTATGCAGCCATTAGAAATGACAAAATAATGGCATTTGCAGGGAAATGGATGGAGCTAGAAGGAATCATGTTGAGCGAGGTAAGCCAAGAACGAAGAGACAAACGGTACATGGTCTCCCTCATAAGTGGATGCTAAATCCAAAAGGTTAGTGATACGACAAAACTAACAGGACTTAAGAAACAAAGAACTCCCGCTCATCTGGTTGAACCACTACTAAATATCCTCATGCTGCTGATCACAAATATGGTATATAACATGTGAACACTGTTATATATTACAGACTGTGGTAGACAATTTGCTCCAGGGAAGTTAGAATGAACTTGTGACTTTGAAATTATGTAATCATTTAATCACAATCAAAAAAAAAAAAAAAAAAAAAAAAAAAAAGAACCTCGGGGAAGGGAGGGAGGGAGGGGATGGTAGGGGGAAAACAATGGAGGGGGTAACAATGTTCAAGAGGAAGTGTACTCATAACCTCACTCATGTAACTGTGACCCTCTGTATAGTAGCTTTACAATAAAAAAAAAAAAAAAAAAAAAAAAAAAAATTAATGGTCTTTGAGGACTAAGCTAAATTCCAAAACATACCAAAATTCTTTATTCTGTTCCTTCCCCCTACTTGAGAAAGAATCAAAGAATTTATAGTCCAAAGAACCCCAAAAGTTAGGTTTTTTTCTGTGTACCTTTAAGGGATTCTCCCTCCCCTCTATACACAAAGATACAAATGAACGGCTCAGTTCCCCCACCCATGACCCTAAGGGTCAGAAGATTTAGGACCAAGCAAGAGCACCTCTCATACATGAGCATGGTGATCTCCACCGCAAGCATCATCTTCAGCTGCCCCCTCTCGTTCTCTCGCTTTCCCATCTACTGTTCTCCTGAGCAGGCAGGACACCTCTGAAAAATGGGGACGACACCTCCCTGGCCTTGGTGAATGACTAGATGACAGAAGACCCTGGGGGCTTCCACCTCAGAGGCCATCACATCCGCCAGGCTCCCACCTTTGTGTGCTCTGAGATTTTAGGGAAGGGTTCTTAGGGCCAAACACTCGTTTCAGTCAATGGCTTACCCAAGTCTCCACCTCCTCCCTCCCCTACACCCTGCTTGGTGACATGGCAGGAGCCAGAGCCACAAAGCAGCCCTCCAAGACCCCCAGAGAGGAAGGAGAAGGCATCCTCTGCACAAACACTTCCCAACCCTGGACACAAAAACGGAAGCAACACAGCGCACCTGCCTGCGCTCGTCAGCAGCTTTCAGGAAGAGTGCGTTGATGACAGCGATGGTATAGGTTTGAATTTCCTGATCGGTTCTGCAAAATTAAAACGGCAAAAGAACTCAGATGAAGTGAGCCAGCCCAGAGGGAGGCCATAATAAACCTCATCATTACACAGAAACATGGCTCCTCCCACAGGGAGAAGAAAAGGGAGGATCCTCTGTAGACCTGTAGTGAGCACTGAGAGCAGACTTCCAGCACCCCTAAGCTGGAAACAACAGATGCACAACTGCTATGAGTGACCACTCAGTGCTGAGAGCAGTATATGTACAGGGGTGAAACTCCTCTGAACAATTAACCGACAGTTTAATATCAGGAATACAAGGAAGCTAAGTAGAGAGAGGAAGGGTAGGTAAATACAGTCACAATTTTCAATGTACACTTGTGAAGATGGACCCAGAAAACTTAAGGGGATGAGTGGGGCTGGGAGAGATGGAAGAGGTGACACAAACCAAGATGTTGCACACTCATAAATGGCCGGTTGAGGGCTGGGAAGGTGGTTCAGTGGTAGAGCACTTGCCTTGCATGGGAGAGGCCCTGGGTTCGATTCCTCAGCACCACATAAGCAAAAAGAAAAAAGCCGGAAGTGGCGCTGTGGCTGAAGTGGTAGAGAGCTAGCCTTGAGCTGAAGAGCTGAGGGACAGCGCCCAGGCCCAGAGTTCAGGCCCCACGACCAGACCCAAAAAAATAAAAATAAAAATAAAAAAAATTAATTGGCAGGTTGAAATGAAACTCCTTCAAATAACTACAATAAAAGATTCCTAGTGAAGAGTTACAGTGTGGCTCAGTGGTAGACTGTTTAGAAGCCTAAAGCCTTAGTTCAGTTCTATCAAAAGAGGGCGGGGGGGGGGGGGGGAAGACTGCTTGAAAATGTCTAGCATAAAATTTCTAATGAATTCTGAAGGTGTTCATGATATTACAGAAAACATTATACAGTTAGGTCACCCTCGGTTAAGAACTTAGGAGAACAAATTGCTTTATGCCTTAAAAAGAAAAACTCTACTGATAGCCACAAAGACAGGTTAAAAGCCGAAGGTTTTCCCAGGGCAAGGGGCCATGGACAGAGCAATGCCAAGGACAGACAAAGCAGTCCTCAAGGATAAGAAGCCACCTTGCCATGTCAGTGTAAGGGGAGAGAGAGGTGCATGACTCACCATAAACCAAGGCTGCCAGGTGTGGTGACATACTATAATCCTGGCTACTCAGGAGGTAGAGATCAAGAGGACCAAGGTTTGTGGCCAACACAGACAAAAAGTCATCAACTCCTACATCTTAACAAATAAGCTGGGCTTGGTGGTTCATACCTATAACCCCAGCTAGGCAAGAGGCCATAGGAAAGAAGATCACTGTCCAAGATCAGCCTGAGCAAAAATGCAAGACTTTATTGAAAACAAAAACAGATAAAGGAAAAATGGGCTGGGTATGGCTCAAGTGGTACAGTAAATACAACCGAAAAAAAAAAAAGGAAAGGGATATTTGTTTGTATATTTAGTAGAATAGTACAAAATAATTTGCAGGCATCTCTGTGGCTGTCTGTGGGAAGCCCCTCTCCAAAGAGAAGAGCTCCCTCCCCAGAGATAACAACCTCTCCCCAGGAGAGCAGCATGCTTACCCTTGAAGATGAGGAATGAGTTGGCCAATGGTGATCTCTTGTGCCACCTTCTGGTAGAGGTCATGGCTATTGAGCACCATGGACTCCAAAATGGCCAAGGACCACTGCAGGATTGAGATGTCCATGGCCGACTTGTTCACAAAACTTGCTATCTGAAAACCCAAGAAGTACATCATTGATGGCTCATAGAGTCAACAGGGAAAGGAGGAAAAAAATTAAGCACATCAGGAACTCAGCGAGGATATCTGATTCTAAGGATGGAGCATAATTCAAAGTAGCAAGAAATACACCCAGTCACCATTGAGATTGGTGACATCCTACCAAACACAAAGAAACCTCTCTTACAATCACTGATACCCGGACATTTCTTTACTGGGTATCTTCAAAGAATTATTCTGCCTGGTTTCCCCCAGACTATTGTGTTCTGAGTTTCAGCTTTCCAAAGCAGACAATTTTATCATGTACATTACACGGACTGGCCCATTTCTCTGAGGGGATAAATTCAGTGTAAAGCACAGCCATTCCTCTCCCCTCCCCAGGCTGCTCCTTCCTTCCTTCATTCATTCCATCCACAACTCGTTATGTTCTGATACACATACAAATCACACCCATCAATGCAATTCAAATGGCAAGTTTTCAGCAGCTGGCTATTCCAAATTATAAAGATGAGAAAGTAGAGGAGGGGGAGGAAGTGGAGGAAGAGGGGGAAGAGGAGGAGGAGGAGGAAGAGGAGGAGGAGGAGGAGGAAGAGGAGGAGGAGGAGGAGGAGAAAGAAAAGAGGGAAGAAAACCTCTCCTTCTAGGGTTAAAAAAATTATCATCTCCCCGACAGGTAGTAAAAAGAAAACTCTTTAAATTAGCAGTGCTAAAAAAATGTAATAGTTTCAAGTTCTCAAATGCATTCCCTAAGGGGAAATCAATCCTTGAATCCCTAACTACAACCAACCACAATATAATAGGAAAGGAAAATAAGAGAAGGGTTACAATAATGGAGCAAGGCAGCCCAGACACATGGTTACCATAAAGGTTTTATTTTAAACATCTCATTAAGATTTACTACAATCTGTTGACAACCCACACTAAAAAGGCCATTATTGTATCAACATGATGGCTTTCTTAAAAGCTAAAATAATGATTTTGTGACAAGTAACCACTCCCTGAGTCCCACTTAAACACAAATTTATCCCCTTCTGTGGTCGGGTCAGGCCCTCCCCTCAGACTCCCTCCTTCCCTAAAGGGGTGAAATGCCAGTGTACACACACCATTCTAGCTACCATCCCATGTCTGCAGTCCACACCCTCCATATGGGAGCCAGAATGGGGGAACAGATCCAAACAGGAGCCTACCTCAGATCTCCACACCCCACCTGCCTCACTTCATTTATACCTCAGTAGGTAAGAAAGAATGAGGTGAAGAAAAACAGGAGTGTGCCTGGTTTCATGTTCCAAAAGGCAATCATTTTACTATAGGAACTGCAGGAAAGGCATGAGGATGTTAACAATCCTTAAACCACTGCTTTGGCTCTTCTCCTGCGAATGTGTTTATTGTCCCAGGCAGGTGTCAGCTCTGCTCCTCACATCTGCTGCAATTTAACAAGCTCTCTACAGGGCCTACCAAGGGAAGCCTACTGACAAAAATCCAATGGCCATCATGCTCTGCCCTGGGTTTTAATGTAAATTACATCTTTTCTAAGAAGAGTGTAAATGCCTGAATCCGCCCCCCCCCCCGGCGCCTCCATTCATTTTCATTGTTCCAATGTAATTCTTTTTTTAAAAATAAATTTTTATGCCTCTACTGGAGCTTGAACTCAAGGTCTGGATGTTATCCTTCACTTTTTACTCAAGGCTGGTGCTCTATCATTTGAGGTACAGCTCCACTTCAGCTTTTTATTGGTTAATTGGAGAGAAGAGTCTCTTTCCTGACAGGACTGGCTTCTAACTGTGATCCTCAGATCTCAATCTCCTGAGTAGCTAACATTACAAGTGTGAGCCGCCAGGGCCCAACTTGTTCCAGTATAATTCCTGACTCTGGCATAAGGAAAGTGAAAAACCCACAAGAAAGTTCATTGATCGGAACTTCTTAACTTTCTCTCTACCAAGGGCTCTTCCTCATTGCTCGCTCCCTTCCTGCCTCTGTTTATAGAATCTGGATGTGACAAAAGTCCAGGGGTCTCACACGTGAGCACCTCTTGCTAATTTTATCAAGCCCCCACTACCAACTCCCAGCCCTCAGTGATAAGCATTCCTGGTTCCACACAGCAAGTCCTCCAGAGACACCAAGATGAGCAAGACCCACAGGTATTTCATTTAAAGCAGGGACAGATTAAAAAGCACTGACTATGAATTACTCGAAGTAAGCATTCTCAGTATCTAAATGGCTCCATTTGGTTATTCCAACAAGGCCAAAAATTAAATGGCATGAAAAAGTATCATTGTAGTCTTACTCTTCCCTTCCTAACTGCCACACTTTTTCAAGTATCCATACTCATTAAGTGCTTAATATCCTCAGTAACATGAGAATGCATTTGAGATATTTTTCTTTGGGGCACAAATTCAGTGGATGTAGTCGTTGGAATCTTTTCTGTAGAGTGATTGCTGGACACAAGCACCACCATGTTAAGAATAGCTGCTACCAACTCACAAGAAGCTATTTTAACTATGCCACTTCCCTTGTTTTCCTCACAACTTCTGGCTTCAGTCAGGAGTCCTGGTCTCAGTTGATGGCTCAGATAAACTTTTAACCCTTTGCAAACTAATCATTCATTCAAGATTGTGACACTAAGTTCTGACCAAATGAACAAGGATTGTCATACAGTAGAGATAAGACAGCTGCGCAGATATCCCGCCACTTGCTTACTTGGCATCCTGTCAGCATCATGACCTTCTGTGGAAGAAAAACCTCGCTGGAATTCCTTTTGAGCAGGTGTCCTGATTCCTGTGTGGTACTCTAATATCCTGAGATATTTCCAACGGTACATACACACAACATGGGCCCTCCAGTCCATTGCATCCTTGGGTTCCTAAAACACCATCTTTTCAGTTTCCTCTCTGCTCAACTGTTCACCTCACCAAAAGAGCTGTGTATGGTGATGTACCCATATGATCCCAGCTACAATGGCTGCATAGGTAGCAGGATCTCACCTTGTGAGCCAAGGTAAGCCCTGGGCAAAAATGGAAGACCTTAGCTGGTTGAGTAGCTAAGTGGTAGAGCGACCTGCCTGGAAAATAGGAGGTCCTGAGTTGAAACCCTAGCACTGCCAAGACCAAAGAAAGAACAAAAAAGTGCTAGGCCCTGTCTAAAACACAATGAACAGGGAAACGGGGACTGGGGACATGGTTCCAGTAGTAATGAGCCTGCCTAGCAAATGTGAGACTGAGTTCAAAACCAGTACCACCAACCACAAGCAAAACAAAGTAATCCCGAAATCAGAGAATTACTTAGGCCAGTTTTCAGAAGCTGAGGAAGTAGATCTCAAAATTCTCATACATTATCAAGGCAGAAGAGAACCATGGGGCTGCATGGTTGATTTTAAATCATCTGGCTGAGGTTCATAAATCTCTCCAAGTTTTAGAAGACAAAATACTGAAGCCCAATGGCTAAATGTTGTCTAGGCAGTGAAATCATCTGATCTTCCCAGCAAGCCAGAGCCTCCTCAAAACAAAGGCCTCAGGGGAATACGTTAGGAAACTTCCCTTCCAAGAGAAGGTACTAGGGCCATGCTTGGCTAGAGGAAAATCAACTCAGAACACAGGAAGTCTTCTTTCTTTTCTCTTCAGGCCTTCCTTCTTCTAAGTAGCCAAGTCATTAAAAAGCAACTCCATAGCAGGGTGCCAGTTGCTCACTCTTACAATCCTAACTATTCAGGAGGCTGAGATTTGAGGATCATAGTTTAGAGCTAGCCCTAGCAGGAAAGTCTGTGAGACTCTTATCTCTACTAAACTACCAGAGAAAGAAAAAGAAAAAGAAAAGAAGGAAGGAAGGAAGGAAGAAGAAGGAAGAAGGAAGGAAGGAAGGAAAAAGAAAGAAAGAAAGAAAGAAAGAAAGAAAGAATGAAAAGAAAGAAAGAAAGAAAGAGAAAGAAAGAAAGAAAGAAAGAAAGAAAAGAAAGAAAAAAGAAAGAAGGAAGGAAGGAGAGGAGGAAGGAAGGAAAGAAGGAAGGAGGGAGGGAGGACAGAAAGAGAGAGAAAGAAAGAAAGAAAGAAAGAAGAAAGGATTGAAGGAAGGAAGGAAGGAAGGAAGGAAGGAAGAAAGAAAGTAAATAGGGAGGGAAGGAGGGAGGGATGGAGGGAGGGAGGGAGGGAGGGAGGGAGGCAGGCAGGCAGGCAGGCAGGCAGGCAGGCTGGCTGGCTGGAAGTGGAGCTGTGGCTCAAGTGGTAGAATGCTAGCCTTGAGGGAAAAAACCTTAGGGACAGAGCCCAGGCTCTGAATTTAGGCCCCAGGACTAGCACAGAAAACAACAACAACAAAACAAAACAAAAAAAAGCTACAATATAGTAGCATCAAGGGCTTCCATGTTCCATGGCATTTAGGAAATAGTGTTAGTTCTTGCAGCTACAATTTGTAAACTCAAATCTAAATGCACACATAACAATGAGAACAGACATGGAGAGAGGGCTGGCAAGGAGAACAATATTTCTCCAAAGTACTCTGAACTTGGCATTGATCAGAAGCCAACTCAAGATCACAGAGAGAAGCACCTTTTGTCAGTGCTTTTCCTAATTATTTTTGTCAAGATAAAGCTCCATTTAAAACATAGAGGCCAGCACAAATCTGGGGCTGTCAGGATGCTGAATACGGTCCAGCTAATGAATAAAAAGTGAACCTTACCCAAAAACTGTAAGTACTTTTCTAGTGACTAATTTTCAAAGTCATATAAGAGACTTTTTTTGTAAGTGGCAAGGCAAAGGAAATGAGGAAACAGGAACAAGTTGCTTTTAAAAAAATATATCCAATTTTTAAATTTAGTTTGCTTCCTGAGAATTAAAGTGGGTTTCTGAAAATTTCACTTCAGTAAAGGCAAACCATTTTCATTAGAAAATGGAGCAGCTGCCATGCTCTCCCATCATTTGAAGAAACCCCAGCTCTCAAGTGAAGTTTTTGACTTGACACATTCCCATCTCTGCCCATTCTTCTACCTGATTCCTTGGGAAAGAAGAGCCAGTCAAAAACGCCCCTCAGTAGTTGAATGGATCAAGAAAATGTGGTATATATACACAATGGAATTCTATCCCTCCATCAGAAAGAATGACATCGCCCCATTGTTAGGGAAAGACTTGGAAAAAATTATATTAAGAAGTAAGCCAGCCCCAAAGAAACATAGGTCCCAAGGTTTCCCTTATTTGCAATAACTAGTATAGTCTGGGACAAGCAGAAAAGGTCAGAAAAGATGATGTTAAGCAAAATGAACCCAAAGATAGGGACACAAGTGGTTTTTTTTCTTCCTTGCTAGTGTTTCTAACGTATTTATAAGGTACCATATGATTTTTTTTTTGTTGCTTTGTATGTCCCACCCCCACGGTCTAACTTCTGTTTTCACTGTATTTGGTGTTGGTATAATTTGGGGAGGGAAGGAGAAAAAACAAATTGTTTAAATAGGGATACAGATTGACCCCTTGCAACAATGAGATGTACAAGACGCTATGTCGAAAAACAAACTACAATTACGCTGAGGAGGTGGGAGGGAAGGGATGGTAGGGGAAAAACAAAGGAGGAGGCAACAATGCTGGATAAGAAATGTACTCATTACCTTGCTCATGTAACTATAACCCCTTTGTACAGTATTTTCACAATAAAAAAAACTGTAAAAAGAAAAAGAAAAAGAAAACTTGCCCCTCTGGCACAGACATGAAGTGCCTTACATTCTTTCTGAAGTCAATGTATACTCAAGAAAAATGCTAATTGTTATCATTAGGAATAAGTTTATCTTAAATGAGGGGGGAAAAAAAGTGGTTAATACCTGAAATCTTTCTTACACCAAGACCATGAGTCAGCAGGAAGGACCCTACCTAAGACACCTGAACCAGACCCTCAGCCTCCTCAGTTCCTCATTAAGCCCATGAGTGCTGGACATCAGCTTCCTTTGCCTCTTTCCCTGTTGCTGAGCATGGGGTTGGGGATGGATAGTGAAGATGGCAGCTCGGCCAAGGTCTTGAGTTCTGAAGCCATGCGTAGCGCATCCGAAGACACTGTGTCCTTAGCAACAACACAGTTTCCCTTAACTCTGGGTTCTCATCCACACAACATTTTATGTTCTCTGCAGGGACAAAAGGTCACTTTCACCCAGAATGTTCAGAGCCCCACGTTTATAGGCCTAGTTAAAACACACCCATGCACACACTCACCCCTATCTTTTAACATAACCCAAGGAAACAATGATAAAATAATCCTCAAAGCAGAGAATGGTACCCGTGAAAGGGAGGGAGTGATGGGAGCCTAGGAAAGCAGTTTGCATTTACCTTCTTAATGAATGCCACCGAAAAACGTGTCCCAAGACACGATGCCATGATCCATGAGCTCTACAAAGGCCATCAACGTGAAGGACAGCATGTCCCCAAAGCTGTAAAACATAGGGGGGGGGGGGGGGAACACAGAGTCGATGCTGGGCAGTGGGGAAAGTGCACAAGTGAGCCAGCTTTAGGAAGCAGACCTAGACCGCTGGACAAGCAGCTGGGCAGTCAGACCCACTCCACTGGACAGCAGCTGGGCAGAGTCAACAGCTCAAGTGCCAGGCTGGCAACAAACAGGACAGGAAGGGACAGGTGCTTGCCGCCAGCCAGGGAGCTGAGAAACACGGAGCAATTCACTTGCCCTCTCTGAGCCTCTGTGCTCTCAGCTAGGAAGTAAATAATGGCAAGTCTTTAGGTAGCACACTCAATAAAGTTGGTAGCATATCAGTATTCAGTAAGGAGCATCTCAGTCAGTGAAAGTTCCTAAATGCTCCCTTTATAAGCCAGAAGAATCAAGAGGGATAATCCAAAATGACTCAATTAGCATAACAGCCCTTGGGTAAGGATTCAGAGCCTCTGTATTTAACTTTAACAAAAATGGCGTAAGCATGATAAATAAGCACATTCACCTTGATGTTACAATGGCCAGCATCCTGTCCTGAGTTAATGGGTTTCAGGGACTATCTATGATGATTGTATTATGATTCCATATACTGGGTTTGCTGATCCCATCATTCATTAGGGGGGTCTGATATGTGGTTTATAGATTCAGAGCAATTAGGGGATGCTATGGTCTGTGTAAATCACAAAGTCCTGCGTGTTCAAGGTGCAGCTCTGGTGAGAGGCAATGGAAACTGTAGGAGGTGGGGCCTAGTAGGAAATCTTTAGGTCACTGGGGGTGCGTCCTTGCATAGGTCTTAGAATCACTCTTTTTATCTTTCTGGCCATGGAGTAAGGGCTTTCAGTCCATCATAATGAGCTGCCTCACACAAAGCAACAGGGCCAGCCCATCATAGGCTAACACCTCTAAAATGTGAGCCACAATAAATCACCTCTGGTTGTAAGTTAACCTAGTCATGTACTGACTATAGTGATGGAAAGTTGCCTATGACCAGAGGGTGGGGAGGCAGGGGAGGGGATGTTGAGGAGGAAGAAGAGCCATCTTTGTAAAATACTATCCTCAGAGGTTCATCCTAGGTTCTTACAATTTCAAAAACATTCTTAGCCATTTATACATCTCAGAAATTTTCACTCTTATCATAAATTTTCATCATCATCATCATCATCATCATCATCATCATCTATAGTAACTCCAAACCATCAAGAAACTCTCTACCAGCAGATAGAATTATAGGATTTCTATACTACATTATACAATAATACAGATTCCTACACTCAGTTACTTTTTGTTGTTGTTGTTGTTGGTCATGGGGCTTGAACTCTGGGCTTGGGCGTTGTCCCTCAGCTCTTCAGCTCAAGGCGAGCGCTCTACCACTTGAGCTACAGCGCCACTTCTGATTTTCTAGTGGTTTATTGGAGATAGGAGTCTCATGGTCTTTCCTGCCCTGGCTGGCTTTGAACTGCAATCCTCAGATCTCAGCCTCCTGAGTAGCTAAAATTACAAGCATGAGCCACTGGTGCCCAGTAGTTACTTTTTTTTTAATGAAGCTGGACATTACAATATTTTTTTTGGGGGGAGGTCCGATCGTGGGGCCTGAATCCTGGGCCTGGGTGCTGTCCCTCAGCACTTCAGCTCAAGGCTAGCACTCTACCACTTGAGCCACAGTGCCACTTCCGGCTTTTTTCTTTTTGCTTATGTGGTGCTAAGAATCGAACCCAGGCCTCAGGCATGCAAGGCAAGTGCTCTACCACTGAGCCACCTTCCCAGCCTGGTCATTACAATTTTTAATCTAGAGGATCAGACATCCCATTATTGCTATATCACAAAGTCTGCTAACAGATTCAGATTTGGATTTAGGTTTATATTTCTTTTAAAAAATAGCTTCACAGTATTCCTTCCTGCTATTCTTCTACTCAGCCCAGTCTCAAAATAAAATGATTTTTGAAATTCTGTTCTATTTCAAAGGTCGTGATACTGGCAGAAGCCCATCCAAGGGGAGATGACTCTCAGAGGAGGACCGTGATTCAGAGACCAGAGGGGAGGATACACACTGGACAGACATGGCTATGTGGTGATCTCTGGAGCCACACATAGGGGCCCCCACATCAAGCTCTAAGTGAATTCTCCAACACTACAGTCTCCCCATTCATGAGGATGATGATCGTGGTGGTGAGGACAATAGTGATCTTCATTCAGAGAGAAGAAGACTGGAGAAAAAAATGAGCTAGCCTAGTCCTGGGATCAGGAACAGTATGTGGCAAGTGCTAAGTTAACAGCCATGTGCCTATTACCTGAGACAGCGGCATAATAGTAGCATTGTGGATGCAGGAAGCTCCTGGTTTTCAAACGTTTTGCCATCAATGTGGAAAAAGTCGAGAGGGAGAAAACATACAAGGGAGAAAAGTACATGGAAAAGCCAGATGGAAAAACCAGATGGAAAAGCAGCCTATGTCTCTGGCTTCCTGCACACAGGCAGTCCCAATCTCACAGGGGCCCTAGGTGGCACCAGAGGCCAGGCCTCAAAGACAAGCTCCCAACAGGAAACTAAAATGACGGAGAGAACAAATAACTAGACAGCAAGGTGGATGACGACTCAAAACAGTAGCAAGACAGGTTAAATAAAAGTTCCAGGATAATTCACTCTACAAAGGATGAGTTATAAGAGAACAAGTGTTAGAGTGCAAAAATAACAGAAACTGCCTTAGGAAAAATAAGATAAATGCAATTAGTAAGATGTATGAATAGAAACTGGGCAGGAGTCAGTATTACAGTACTGTGAAAACATTATTACATAATAATGTATTAGTAGCGATAAATACTTTGTTAACTTACACACGAAGAGAAAAACAATCACATAATAATGAATAGTTGGCATTTGCTCAAATCTGACATAATAAGATTTGAAATGCTACAGGTTCTTCACATACCTGCCACAGACTCCACTCAGACCAAGATCTTTGCCTTGGTGTCAGCGGTTAAAGACAGCAGTTAGAGAACCAGGAGAGAACAGAAAGAAAAGGAATGAGCCCACAACTGGGCTCAAGCTGGTCTTCTGTTTTGTTTCATTGACAGCACTGGGGTTTGAGCACAGGGCTTTGCACTCATTCAGCTGGCGCTCCACCATTTGAGCCACATACCTAGCCCTTTATGCTATAGTCATGTTTCAAACAGGGTCTCACATTTATGCCCAGGCTGGCTTGGATGACAAACTTTCTGTTCATGTTTCCCATTGTACCTGGGATGACATCACCATACCCAGGTTTTCATTGGCTAAAAAGGAGTACAGAGAACTTTTTGACCACAGGAGCCCCCAAAAATCACAATCCTCCCGATTTCATCCTCTTGAGTAGCTCCGATTACAGACATGAGCTACTGTGCCTGGCTCAAATGCTTCTTGACATTCCCAGTTAGCCACCTGGCCTGGGAATACAAATAAACTTGTGTCCAGATATTAGTCTTCCGTAGCTACTTTAAGAGCAAATGTCTTCCCTCTAATTATCTGAAAGCAAATGTCTCTACTTCTTACCTACCTGCTCAATGAAAGGCTAATCTAAATGGCCAGAAGGAGCCCATCTGAGGACAATCAATCTGCCCTAAAGAAATCCAGTTTGTCTATAGACTCTCCAGGCAGGCTTTAAGGACCTTTGGGGGTAGGATGGAAAGTAGGAAGAACATCATGTGTTTTCCAGATCTCCAAGTGGTGTTAGGGATCAGGATACCCGCTCTATGGCTATCAAGGAAGTGAAACACTGTTTCAGAGACGGCAGGTAAGGCTCTCCATACTTACAGTGGTCCATTTCTGTGAGTGATTAACAAGTGGGAGAAAGGGCATTTCATGTCACTCACCCACTGAGGAGGTCACAGGAAGTGACCTGGTCCACTCAGTAATGTGAGAGATAGACAGACAGACGGGACATATTGACGATAGAAGACAGAGACAGAGAAAGAATTGATCCAAGATAGAAATGATAGAAAATAGATTTGTAGATGATAAAAGAGAGATGTTACATAGATACGTAGATGATAGGTATACATAAATGATAACTAGAATTATATGACCTCCTATAAACTACATACATATGCATATAAGACACAAAATACATTCAATATAAAAATATGTAAAATGTTCATATACTACATAACAAAATGCATAATACACATATGTGTGATAGAAATTATATAATACACTGTATGTAGTTCTCTATATTAAACATCTATTTCCCTGGAATAAGTTATGTTTTTCCTGAGGAAGAGCTTTTCAGACTTCAACTTCAAGCCGTCAGCAACAAGAAAAAGATGGCATGTTCAAATATGGTTACATTTCAAAAGAAAGGCCCTTTTTCAAATAAGGTGGCTGGAAGAGCTGTCCTGGAACCCTCACATTGGGGTATTCATCTCCACTTCCAGAGAGGAGAGATTCAGACTCCCAGGAGAGAAGGCAGAAGCCAGCTTCCGACCTCCACACTCCATCTGTATAGGATACCATGCTTGGAAAGCACTATAAAAGAAAAGCAAGCGCTTGGCACATTCTGGAACATTTTTATTTCCTGGGTTTATTTGTTTTTATTATGTGCTAGGCTAAAGACTTTTACAGTAGTGACTGCCACAAAGGGAAGCGTCTGCAAACTACATACCGGGCCACCGTCTCTGTCACAGCCAGCCGCACACCATGTGTGCTGCAATGACTCAATGAAATGTTTCTCAACTTACTAGGGATCATCTTCCTTCCAGAAAAATCCAGCCAGTCTCAAAACAAGCATCTAAATTTATGCTGCCAACTTTTTCAGAGCAGAGTGCATCCCAATGTTTCCATGGAATGATGTACCCAATACAGACTGGAGAAAAGAAAGGAAAGGCAACTTTTAAAGCTATCCTACAGGCTCATGCCTGTAATCCTAGCTACTCACTAAGCTGAGATATGAGGATCACGGTTCAAAGCCAGCCCTGGCAGACAAATCTATGAGACTTTTATCCCCAATTAACAAATAAAAAGCTAGAAATGAAGGTGTGCCTCAAGCGGTAAAGTACTAACTATGAGCAAGGAAGCTAAGCAACAGCATAAGGTCCTAAGTTCAAACTCAAGTAGCAACACAAAAGAAGGAGGAAGAGCAGATGGAAGAGGAGAATTATCAGGAGTGAAATCAGCACACAAGTGATCTAGAACAAATATTTTTCAATCTATGCATCAGTCTCAAATACTTTTTAGATGTAGTGCTTTTCCTTCTTTCTGAGTCACTGTTAAAAACCAAAGCCTTCAAACTCTGAACATCACATAAGCCACAAAAGAAGAAAGCTCGGCTTAAAGTCATATATAAAACTCTACCCAGAAGTGCTATAGGGGAAGGGAAGAGGGAGGAAGGCCTGTGTAATCATTTAGTGGTAACCAACAATAAATACTCTCTGCCACAAGGGAAAAAAACAAACAAACAAGGAAGTAGATTCATTAAAAAAAAAAACTGTTTTAAAAACATCGAACAAAAAGGAAAAAAGTAACTTACTCAAAATATGTAGATGCATAGTTATAAAGTAAGCCAGAGGACAGGTTTTAATTATGCAGACAGGAAAAAAGGAAGTATTAAGATTATAACATAATTTAATCATAGATTCTTACCAAGGCTTCATAATCTTCTGCAATTTCTGGTATTGGCTGTAAAATTTAAAAACATGTTCCATGGGGAACATGTTTAAAAGCAGTGATAGTCAATTCATACAAACAATGTATCTGGAAGAAAACTCAGGATTAGAACCAGGAGGGCCAAACTGCTCCTCAGCCACTCAGTGCATTTCAATACATCATTCAAAGGGATAAATGGACATTAAATCATGATAGGAAGCAACAAAAATACAAGGAACAAACTAATTACTTACACCAGCCATCACATTTACTTACAAGTAGCTCTATTTGAACCAATATGGGTTCATGGTTGATGAGGAGAAACCCCCATGGGTAATAAGAAGTCCAAAGGAACAGGACTTAAAACAATGACTGAGTAGCTTTCTCTTGTAATATGCCAGCTGACTGTCTTGGTCTTGTAAGAGAAGGCCCTGCAGTTTGCTAAAATACCTGTTGTACTTATGTGCCACAAATAGGACATAGTGGAAGAGAAATAATCTGAACCCACAGGTACTAGTGAAAGTCTAGCCAAAGATATAATATGGGTCCAGTTATGAGAAAATGATACAAACCAGTAGGAAGATGTGTATGTTTCAATGGCAAAACTGCAGTATCTGTAACATACCCTCCTGGGTCATCAGATTCTAGTCCCACTGTCTTTGAGCTGTTTTACAATGTATAGGTAGGTAGATGGCAGGCAGGCAGGCAGGCAAGCAGGCAGAAGATGGGAGGAAGGGAGGAAGGGAGGAAGGAAGGAAGTCAGAGAGGAAGGGAGGGAGGGAGGGAAATAAAAGAATGGATGGTGGATGGATGAACAGATGGATGGGCAAATAAATGATGGATAGGCAATGGAAAAAAGGAAAGGAAGGAAAGGAAAGAAGGAAAGAAGGAAGGAAGGAAGGAAGGAATCAATCAATCCCTGGCTCCATCCATCCCCTCTGAAAGTGATTTAATTGGCTTCTGCCTGATGATAGAAAACCAGTTTGGCCTCCAATTGCAATTCACCTCCATCTTCTTTCCTCCATATATAACTTGTAGTCTTTTGATTTTTTTCTTGAAACGATTATAACTTCTGCCTAGTTCTCTCATTTCAAATAGCTAAATTCTTTTATCACCTGTTCATATGTGTATCTGTATTTTCTCTGGAAATAATCTTTAACAAATTATCTTTTAATAAACCCAGTTGAAAGATGGTCTACTTGCCTGGCACCAATGGCTCATGCCTGTAATCCTAGATACTCAGGAGGCTGAGATATGAGGAATATGGGCCAAAGCCACTCAGAAATGGCACTGTGGCTAAAGTGGAAAAGAGCTAGCCTTGAACAAAAAATTAAATAAAGTTCAAGGATAGCATCCAGGCCCTGAGTTCAAACCCCACAATTGTCACCAAATAGACAGACAGACAGACAGACAGACAGACAATCTACTAAACTGCTAACTTAGAGAGTCTTAAAAAAATGTCCAAGTCATCCAAGAAAGAACAACTATGAAAGAGTTTCAGACTGGGAGACTGAACTATTGGGGGGAGTTAGACCATAAGATGCACCCAGGACAACTTGTACAACTTGAGTGGGGACTAGAGGCATGCCTCAAGTGGTAGAACACCAGCCTGTGAGTGAAAACTTGAGTGGAATCTGCAGGTGAAAGACACCTTGCGGTTCCCCACTCTGTTCCTGTGAATTTTCCTTAGGTTTGAAACTTCCGTTCCCACACATGATATCAAGCCAGGATTGCAAAGATATGCTCTGGCTTGAGACCAGAGCATGCATGGGGTTCTATGTGTTCATGTCCTCTGGAGACCAGTGCAGAGAGCAAACCACCTGACTGTGGGCAGGCAAGCCTAGGGAAAGAACGCTGAAACCAACACCCTCTCTAGTCATGCCCCACTCCTACCTCTTTCCAAGCCCCTACTATGGCAGTTTAATCTTGAGGGTGATTAGTGCTCAGTTGATAGCTGGGATTTTTCCCTAGTGGTAGGGAAACCTTCGGCCAGTTCCAACCAAGATGAAGCCACCTGCACAGCAGATCCTTGTGCATCCTTAGCCTGACCTTTGCCCAACAAACTCCTATGCAGGGCTTCTTGCACATGCCCTGCATCTTAGACATGTGCTTAAATCTACGGGATGACAGCTGTGTGCATGCGCAGATCCCATCGACCAGTGTGGTGAGTCACTGTTGCTCATTTCCCTAAGATCAGCCCACTGTACATACAGAGAACTCCCGGACACTCTCCAAATCCTGGAAAGCTAAGCACATGTTTCCTCTTAAAGGAGCACAGAATACAAGCCTGCTTGCTATTTCCCTCAATGCTGTGTTTTCTGTATTACATTCTTCCTTGCTCTGCAACTTTTACTTATGTGTGTTTGTGTGCACTGCACACATGTGGGCATGTCCATGCAACATGTGTCATTCAATTCTTTGTTTTAGACACCAAGAATCACTCCGGGATTTTCACCTCTCCCCCTTCCCCAATAACATGTTTTCCCACATTCCCAAAAGCTACATGCTTGCTGTGACTTCAGAAAAAGTTCTGTTGTGGCATGTGTTCCCTCTCCCTCCCTCTGTCTCTTTCCAAGTACAGTTTATGTTTTTAAGAAAACAAAGAAATGTGAGCAGAAAATCTGCAGCTGGTAGAAAGGCTAAGGTTTCCCAGAGGTCAAAAATCTCTTGCTCCAGCCTGAGGAATGAATGCCACTGTTCCTCTTTCAACAGCAAAGGTTAGCCAGGGAGGGGTTGCCCTATAAAGGGATTTTCTGGGGACTTCGACAAAGCCTGCCTAGGCCGGCCTCTTGGGCCTTTGTGATGGAAATTCCTGGCTGGGCCCCAGAGAGGCAGAGAGGGGCAACTCCAATCAGGACTACCCCATGCTTTACCCCTAGCAAACTAGCACCCCAGCAGAGGGAGCTAGAAAGATGCTGCAACCTCACAGCTAGGGCAGAACACAGGACCACAGAAGCATCTTCTGGCTCAGTCTGGGGTTTGCTGGCGCTGGTCATGGCCTCTTTAAGAAATGCAACACCTGCCAGGCGTTGGTGGCTCACGCCTGTAATCCTAGCTACTCAGGAGGCTGAGATCTGAGGATCACGGTTCAAAGCCAGCCCGGGCGGGAGAGACCATGAGACTCCTATCTCCAATAAACCACCAGAAAACCGGAAGTGGCGCTGTAGCTCAAGTGGTAGAGAGCTTGCCTTGAGCTGAAGAGCTGAGCGACAGCGCCCAGGCCCAGAGTTCAAGCCCCACGACCGACCAAAAAAAAAAAAAAAAAGAAATGCAACACCTGCCTGGTGAGTCAGGCTTTGCTGCTAAATAGTAGACAGAGCCACTTAACCCATCCTGGACCTCCCAGAACAGATGCATCCTCTGAGAAACGGTGATTTCCATGAAAACTGACAGTGGCTTGCAAAAATGTGCCAACCAAAGCCAAGCCTACTGTCACACACATCTTGGGGTTCTCTCCCCCTCTCCATCCCCCCCACCCCCATCCCTCCTGCCTGTGCCAGGCCTAATTCAAGGTCAGAGATAAAATTTGGTACTCAAAGAATATACACTTGGCTCCAATCCCATTCTCAAAGGTAAGGGCCAAGACACTTGAGGGCACACCAAAGTTCAATGCATGGGAATGAAGGTAGTTTTCATACATACCTGGTGTGAAAGACAACTGGAATAATAAAAGTTTAATCTGAGACTCTTTTTAAAAATCAATATCAATAGAAATAAGCACTAATATATACTGTCTTGTATTCTTTATATGTCTGTGGATGTGATGTGTGTGTGTGTGTGTGTGTGTGTGTGTGTCCTAGGACTTGAACTCAGGGCCTGTACCATCCCTGAGCTTTTGTGCCCAGGGCTAGTTTTCTACCACTTGAGTCTCAGCTCCGCTTCCAACTTTTTGATGGTAAACTGGAGATGAGTCTTACAACTTTCCTGCCCAGGCTGGCTTTGAACTATGATCCTCAGATCCCAGCCTCCTGAGTTACTAAGATTACAGGCATGTGCCACTCCCACCTGCCTAGCGTAATGTTTTTTGGTTTGTTTTTTAAGTTTTAAAATGTATATCCTTCTGAGTACGCAATCCATTTTTCAAAATAATTCTACTAGTCACTAGCTTTTAGTTAAAGCAGATTAGAGGGCTGGGAATGTGGCTCAGTGGTAGAGTGCTTGCCTAGCATTCATGAAGCCCTGGGCTCAATTCCTCAGTACCACATACACAGAAAAGGCTGGAAGTGGTAATGTGGCTTAAGTGGTAGAGTATTAGCCTTGAGCAAAAGAAGTTCAGGGACAGTGCCCAAGCCCCATGATTAAAAACAACAACAAAAAAGATAGTTATAGTACTGAAAAGGCAGATTAGAAAATCTTTCAAAAAATAACAATATAAAATGTCCTATAATAAGGTAAGGGCTAATTACAGTGTCTATATCCTTCAAATTATTATATTGTGAATCCCTTGTATGTCAGTAAAGCTGTAAAGATACATAACTGTGATCATATACAGGTATAGTCATACACAGCTCTAAACCATCCACAGGTAATAAAAACAATGGTAGGAATATTTAATCACATAGAACTTTTGGTAGGTACAAAAAAAGCAAGTTATAAAGAGAATGAATATTACACTTCTACTTTTGTACATCTTGTGTACATTTAAAGTCATAAAAAATTGGGTGCTCGTAGCTATAATCCTAGCTACTCAAGAGGCTGATAGTTGATGATCTCGGTTCCAAGTGGAGGTGTGACTTCAGTAACTAGAAAATGTTAGCCTTAGGCAAAAAGAAAAAAAAATCCAAGCAAGAGCACAAGGCCCTGAGTTTAAGCCCCATTATCAGTACAAAAGTAAAATAAAATAGAAAATACACTCACACAAACACACACACACACACACACACACACACACACACACACGACCTTACAGGTGGCTGTGGGGAGAGCACAGATGACAAAGAATTCCTGTGTTTGATGCTTCCTGTCTGTTTTCCTGAAGGAACGATGGTTTCTTTAAAAGGACTGTGAGCTCTTTGGAAACAGGGATTTTGCTT